TCATATTGTTAAGCTCCAAAATCCATGAAAAATACGAAAAACATACATAATGTTAAATGAAAAAATAAATAATTAAAAATAAGGCAGTAGTAAAAACAAATAAATTACAAAATAATAAATATATATGTATACCGTCATCATCAAAAGTTGGTATACAGTGGCATTATTTATTTATTTTGTTATATTAATTTTACCAAATTGTTTTAAAAAATATAGTTCATTCTACAGGAAAAATTGACAGAATCACCTTTTTAAATTACATACTGAACATAGTCCATGAAATATATTTGCTAAAACAATTTGGTAAAATTAATATAACAAAATAAGTTAATAAAGCCGCTGTATTCAATCTTTTGATGTTGACTGTAAACATGAATGAAATAAAAAGTTCAAATTAAATTTTAATTGGTACAGCCATGTAATATAGGAATGAAAAGGAATTGGCCGTTATGTGGTAAATACATCATTTTGCCACTAATCTCTTCAACAGGATACATTTCAATCTCAGTACTAGGAACAACATCTCCCAAACATATACCTAGATCTGAACATGAGTCTAAAGGTTCCTTGAAAAAACTAGTAATATTAAGAAACCTTCTACCAACTACAATCCCGGAGCCAGTACCAGATTTCTGGAAGGCATCAATCTTAAATACAGTAAAAGGGCTTATTATGCAGACATTATTTGGACTTTTGGTACTAAACAAGTAATGCAGATTTCTATAGGCTTTAAGTTTTGCATTGAACTCTATAAACCCAATATTTTTTGGTTCAGCAGTAAGGTCAGAATGTTTATTTATATTGCTAATTTGCTTCAAAATGTGAGTTGGTTTTCTTACGTTCTTTTTTAAGATTTGCAAGAAATTTTCAAAGTCATAAGCAGAAAAACTTTGAAGAACTCCAAACGTTTTTACATTTTCCGCTAGGTGCAACAAACCATGAACATTATAGGATACACTTTCATCACCAAATATTTTTGGAAAATTTTGTACGAATAATTTTAATGCCTCTTCTGCGTTCATGAAATTTGAATGAACATTTTTTGGACAGGACAACAATCTACACGCGCAATGCAACAACAAGAATTCGTAATAAATACTTTCATGCACCTTTTCTTTAAGGACTAAGATCCCAGTATAAAGCAAAAATTGCCTAAATTCAGTGGCTTTCCAGTGCGGAACCTCATCCAGACTTCGAGGCAGACGAACGAATTCCTTCGGGATATGAGTTTTAAGTGAAACTAAATGTTCTGAAATATTTTTCTTGTCTTCCCAAGTTAATCTCATATCAGAATTTAGTTTATTTTTTAAAATCCTAGTCAAAAACTTTTTCGTAATACCAAGGTCAATTAAATGCATCGGTTCTAAAGGAACCTGTGTTATCATATTTAAATTAATTATTTCAAAAGGAGTTTTTTCTGAACGGAATCCTATTTGGTGATGGTTCAAAAACTTTCTCAGGGTGAAATCTGCATCACTTATTAGTTCACCTACTTCAGTGGGATACGCTAGGGTATTATTCACTTTCTTTGCTTCTACTGTGCACTTCGAACATCCATGAGCTGATGTGTGATGCGGAATACCGCATGCAAATGCTCTAGCTGGTGCATCACATACTAAAGCTCTAATTTTTAAATAATATATTTTGCCTCCTAGTTCTAAACCGTTTTCTTTCAATAATTGAAATTCATTAACAAAATCGCTGAAGAACTCATTAACCTCATTAGGTTTTTGTTTTCCTTTATAAATACCTATTGGAAAAACTGTAATATTTGGGACATTTACAATTTTTAAAAGAATTGGCCAAAGCTGAGTTCTTGAGCTATTAAATAATGGCAAGCCATCTA